AGACCCAGTCTCTATCTTAAAAATAAAAAAGAACATGAAAAATGCATAATTTAATAAATCTGCTTAGCTAGAGGACAAGATATAGATATAGGTACAGAGGTGGGAAGAGGATGGAGATATAGGTTGGGATGGTTTTGTGTGCTAATTAGTTTAAATTTACTTAAATGCTACTGGGAGCCACAGGATAACTTTCCTTAGAGGAGCAACACAATCAGATTTATACTTTACAAAGATCATAGCCAGGCTAGGTGTATGTCTCACGCCTGTAATCCCAGCAATATGGAAGGCCGAGGCGGGTGGATCACCTGCAGTTAGGAGTTCAAGACCAGCCTGACCAACATGGTGAAATCCCATATGTACCAAAAATACAAAAGTTAGCCAGATGTGGTGGTGCATGCCTGTAATCTCAGCTACTCAGGAGGCTGAGGCAGGAGAATCACTTGAACCCAAAAGGTGGAGGGTGCAGTGAACTGAGATCATGCCACTACACTCCAGCCTGGGATGAGAGTAAGACTCCATCTCAAAAAACAAAACAAAACAAAAAAATCATTGCCACAGCAAAATAGAAGGTAAACTGGAGTCAGGGAAACTAGAATAAAGATTTCCTGGTAGGGTATTGCAGAAAACTTAAGGGGACAGTGATAAGGACCTGAGTCAGTGTTGGTGACATCCCACATAATATTCTCTTCCCAGTAGGTCTCCTCCCTTTAGCCAACAAATGTGAAATGTAAGGGGGCAATGTCACAGAAAGTGACCCTGCCAGCCCCACTATTGGCTTAAAATTAAATTGTTTCTGGTAAGAATTTTACCCGCCCATCTTTTCACACGTTATGGCGCTTATGAGTGGGGTTAAACCCATAAGAGAAGTGTGGTAATGGGTGCCCATCTCTATGTAGCTTAAGTATGCTTTTTTGTGCAAAGCCTAGAAACCCATCAAAACATATAAAGTAAAATTAAAGAGTAATCTCTAAAGATTGGAAGTAAAATCAAACAAATGTAAATGTATATTCTGTTGGCAATAACCTTAAAGAAGCTATTCCAGATAACTTGAAATCTCAGTATTGGGACTGTGAACCCATAGTATGATATATGTAGCTTACACAATCCTCCCTGTTTTCTATCCCCCCAAAAACAAAATTTAAACTATTTCCAGTAACTATATTGTTGGTAATGTTTATGTTGATATTCTGAGACTTCTGAGTGTACATTTTTTGATTATACTAATGAATAATTATGTAATATTCTATCAGCCACACACTAAAAATTGGAATTCTTAGTATGGTTTGATAAGGAGACACAGACCAAAGAAATTAAGTTAAAATTATGTAGTACTGAGTATCGTATAATTTCTTTTTCTTTTTTTTTTTTAAGATGGGGTTTCACCATGTTGGCCAGGCTGGTCTTGAACTCCTGACCTCAGGTGTTCCACCCACCTCGGCCTCCCAAAGTGCAAGGATTACAGGCATGAGCCACTGCGCCCGGCCGTATCAGTATAATTTCACGCAGTATTTTATATTAAAACAACAAATAATACCAATGTTAGTCCACAGAAAGGCCTAGAAACCTACAAACCCAGTCTCAATGAACATTTCTGGTGCTCTGATTGCAATTTCCAAATGCCACTTTCCAGTAAAGAGGAAACAAGCCTCTTTGGATAAATTGTTTTCAGGTCAGGCAGGAAATACACAAGATGAGCCTTAGAACATCTTGTAATATCACTTTTAGCAAAGATGCTACCAGTGACAACAAGGGTCATGTAGATGGACTGAGGAGCCAATTAAAGAGGCTCTCACTGGCCAAAAATGGGACAATTTGAGCATTCATAAGAGAAATAGTTTCAGTGGACTGAAGTACATCAAATATGTTTAAATGTATGAATTGCTAATGACATATACATTAATTATTCACTATTGGAGGATATTAATAAACAACTCATTATTTTGAAGACCAAGGAGTTAAACATTTATTCTTAACCTTCCCCAAAAAAGTAGATGAGGGGAAGTTTCTATCTACAGAGGTATTTAGATAATAAATGAAGGAATACTATAATTAGAATACCATTATTTTTAATAACTCATTAATAGATCAAAAGCTGCTCACATTACAAAAAGACAACCAACAGTATGAAAAAACCAGCATGCAATCAGCAAAATCCAAACTAAGAAAAACTCTACAAGGTAAACAACACAACTTCTTCAACAAATTTGTTGTGGAGGGCAGAGAGATGGTGATGAACCAATACATAAGCGAACCCCAAACCTGCAGCTTCAGCATCACCTGGGAATTTGTTAGAGATGCAAATTCACAGACTCCACAACAGACTTACAGATCACTAACTCTGTGGTGGGTCCCAGCAGTTTAACAAGGCTCTAGTGATTTTGTTATACTCGTTTGAGGACCACAATAACAGAAGATATTTAGGATGTGTATCAGCCAACTTTATTTGGTTCCTGATCCCAAAAAAACTGCAAAAATTTTTGACATCATAGACAACTTATAATATGAAGGAGTTGTCCATTTTCTTAGGTGTAAAAATGGTATTAAGATTATACATATTTTTTAAATCCCTGAAATATTTACAGATAAATTATAAGATTTACTTTAAAATTATACAGAAAGGGCAGAAGCAGTTGGGATTATAGATGACACACATTAGCAAGGAGTTGATAATTGTCGAAGGTGGAGGATGGGTACCTAGGTGTTTATTCATTCTCTATATCTATCTATCTATCTATCTATCTATCTGTATATATATACACATATATATATTCTCTCTATATATGTATTTTTTGAGATTTTTTTCATTCTAATTTTTTTTTAAACTCAAAAAATTAAAAGACTGTATTAATCCAAAAAAACAGAAAGTATACAGTACTTTTACTTAAAGGGCAGTATTGAAATACACAAAATAAGTATAAATAGTCAGAAAAAAAAACCCCATTCCATACTAGTATATGGTAAAATGCTTTTGTTGTGGAAGTAAGGAGGATCTGGATCTTCTATCAATCGTCTGATGTCATTTTAAGTAACTGACCCTGTTGGAGAGAATGACGTACCTGTAGAGAGAGGCCCAGTCTGGTCAAGGGCATATGAATACCTACACACATTTGCTTTCCAATTTCCAAACTAGCTTAGCCTTTAGAATGCAATCTGTTAATGAACTCAGGTTTACCTTCATTTTTAAAAACATACTACTTTAGCATATTATGAGTGCAACCTAAGTAGCCTAATACAGATATTAGTAATGGCTGATTTTTTTTTCACTAGACATGAGACAATCCATCTCTTTTACATAGGGAAAATAGCCAAAGTATGTGTTTTGAGAGATGTTCAGAGGCCTGTCTTGAAATGTCATCTCCAGTGATCTGGTGGTAACTAGTCTTGAAATTTCTTCAAAACAAGAAATGTAAAAAAAGCTAATTGTGAGGCTGCAGTAGCCCTTAATAACTCCTTGAACTTAAATCTTGTGATGTGAGCTTTATTTCCTCTGTAATGTATCTTTGTTATTGTGCTGTTAAGAACAGGGTGAATATACATAAGCAGAATATATTTGGAAAAAAGAAAAATTTTAAATGAATAGGGTGAATAGATGCAATCTCTCCTTCTTCCTCTCCTTTTTAACTTCTTCCTCTTATTTATTCTTTACTATGGAAACATAATTTGTATATAAACACCTGGTCCATAAGAAATCTAATTAGAGGGCCGGGCGCGGTGGCTCACGCCTGTAATCCCAGCACTTTGGGAGGCCGAGGCGGGTGGATCACGAGGTCAAGAGATCGAGACCATCCTGGTCAACACGGTGAAACCCCATCTCTACTAAAACTACAAAAAATCAGCTGGGCATGGTGGCGCGTGCCTGTAATCCCAGCTACTCAGGAGGCTGAGGCAGGAGAATTGCCTGAACCC